TGGTTCTTACCCGCAGGACTTCCTGCAGTGCAGCCCTGGTTTGTTTTGGTTTACGAGAACAGCTGTAAGACTGATCCGACGAGTACGGATCCCGGAAAGGGACATAAGGGACGCGGTGGGGGGGGGGGGCGGAGAGAATAAATCTCGTGCACCCGAGTTGTTGGGGCCTGGGACATATAATTACTGCAATCCCATAACTACCCCGAGCCCGAGCCCAGGCCCCCTTCCGGGCTCCGTAGACAAGGTCAGTTAACTGCACACAGAGGGCGTGGAATGCAAACTTCACACGGAATCCTGATCACGCTTATGCGACACGCATCCCCAAAATTCAAATAATGTAACAGCAGCGCCTCTGCGTCATGTGCACGCAAAAAAAAAAAATGCATCCAATAAGGCATACGGCACTAGGTCCAATCTCCTCTATGAAGCCAGCTAGCGTTCTCCGGCAAATTATGGGAGTATAAAACAAAAGTGAAAAAAAAAACAATAAAGTGAAAGTCGTGATTTTTATTATTATTATTTGTTTACTATAAGTATAAGCAAGATTATTTACGCTGCCATGTTTCGGTTCGCTCCCGCGAGCAAGACCAACATTTCACGCCCTGCCCGTGATAGGGCGAAATAACGTCGTGCATCGCAATTTACACACCCGGGCGGCGTTCAGCGACCGTCGTGCAATAAACCCAGATTCACAATAAGGAACTCCGACAGGAACTGGCGCGCTACGATTCTGCATCTCACTGATGTAGCGGCGTTCCTTCCCCAGTACATTTCATAGGCTGTCGTACTGTAGGTGTCATGTATCTTAAGAACGTCTTGCAATATACATACATAATAATTTCATTACATTTTCGTCGAATACGATATACGTGCTCTAAATTAGTGTCCCATGTTTTTATAACAAGACTGCGCAGTAAAACCGTTAATACGTCACATATGCCAGAACATTGTTGTTTAGCGTCCTATTTCTAAAACATCAGGCGGACACCTTCCTAATTCAAATGACATTATTGTACATGCGCAACAGGCAAGAGAGGTCGTTCTAGTTTATCTAGCGAGCGTTTTTTTTCTCACAAATACGCATTACCCCTTGAAGTAAAAGCTGATAATAATTAAGCTTTACCTGACCACTATTTTCACGTCTCTGTGATGTAATTCTCTCTGCAGAGCGCAACCGTTCACACGCACGCTTCGCAAAACCTTTGGGAAAACAGAGCGGGGGGGGTGGGTGTCCATCGCCGTGGAAAACTACAACTCCCAAGCTACAGCCGGGAACGAGAACAACTTCGAGCCACGGCTTTTCCCTCGTGATGCACACCGGGAAATGAAGTCCGTGCTCAACCCCGTTCTAATTTCGTACTTAAAAAAAACAGGAGACTGAAAGCGACCCATTTGTGCGTGGTGGTATCATATTCCTGCTTTGCACGTTCTCACGTAACCAGCTGGCGTGGTCTTAAAAGTACTATTTCTGTTGTGAATAAATAAAAATATATTAATGTGCAAACAGAAATTCAATTCTTTTTCGAGCGTTGCTTAAAATGCGGCCGGGCATTTCACCGGTCGACCCCCTTATTGAGTCGCATCAGTTCCGTCGTCCACTGCGTAGACTCTGTTAAACCACATCTCCCACAATGCAAAGGGAGCGCGAATCCTCCTCGCCCGCAGCCTGGCTGTGCCAATGCTGCCCGAGCCTGATCTGAGCAGACATGCGGCTGACAGAATGACGTTTTTGCAGGCGCTAACTGTAGAAGACGTATTGAAATTAATCGTATCCGATGGCAACGCGTTGAAACACGCGTGGCGCGTACGCTGCGCTGTAGAAAAGGATTAGGAACAACAGAAATGAGATCGTATCTATCTTATTAGGAACCACGGGTTCATTAAATGTAATACTCTCCTTCCCGAGTTTAACTTGCAGTTGTTTGCAGGATGATTAGAGCTGCCAAAATGCGTTTTGGTATTTTTACGGACAAAGTCCAATCGCGTCCCTGAGAGCATGTTTCTTAATCGACCGTCCAATTCTCAGATTTCAGACCAGAGATTGCGCGGGGCAGGGATCTTATATTGAGAGAGTTGACAATATCATTTAATTAGTCCAGGTGGGGAGCTGCGTCAGCATGCGTAGGCTGCAAAGGAACAAGTAAGAGGTTTATTCCAGGCTGAAAGAAAACACAGTATTTCGGCCGTGGAGCCTTCTCCAGGCTCTTCCTTGTTCCTTTGCGCAGGCTGACGCAGCTACCCACCTGAACTACTTCAACCTACACCTGCTGCGACCCACTATGCCTTCCTCTAAATCTTTTTCTAGATCTCTTCGTCATTCCTTCTCTTCCTAAACCAGCCTTCCGTCTCTTCACAGCGACCTGTTCCAAGCCCAGGCTTTCTAACCACCTCCTGTTCCTGTAGAGATGTCGTCGACATAATATCATTCCTAAAAAAAATGACACCTGAAGAAGGCTCCGCGGCCGAAACGTTGCGTTTTCTGTCTTCTCTTTTCAGCCTGGAATAAACCTCTTGTTCCAATCTCATGTAGTATCCAGCTGTGTTTTGCTGTCCGAAATCCTTTATATCCCAGGGCTGGGTTGTTGGGATTTCAGATAGCAAAAACACAATTTAATAATAACTTGAACCTCCACAGACACAGCCTCATGAAATCAACGTGCTGGTAGAAGGGGTTTGATTCCAGGAGAAAGGAAAAAATATTTGAGGCGCCGACGGGAAACTTTATCGTGCTGCAAGCTCCCCTTTGTCTTTTGGCTTATTTTTTATGGTGTTTTTTTTTTTTTTGCAGTGCTGACTGCCCACGTTGTTTGTTCAGTGAAATTCCATTCGATTCGATTTTATTCAATCCTTTCTTGTGTTATTTATGTTGTAATTTCAGATTGTAACTTTGAACTCACCTCATTTGTATTCCATCCCTCCGGTGAGCCTGCGGGGGAAAAAAAAAAACAACAAATCGCCAGCCATTACTGCTGCAGGCTGTATTGATGTGCAAGTGATAATGAAACTTTGAACTTGAACTTTGAATGACATTGTTTAGTCCATGGACAGTTGCTTTTTCCGTCTAACTCGATTTTAGGCCGAGACCACGGTGTTTCCTGAACAACACCGCCGCACTTGAAACGCCAGAGCAGAGGGAGAGAATTTTGGGAGAATCTGCCCAGCAGCTCAGGGACAAGACTCGGAGATAAGCCTCCCCCGGGTTAAATAAAGAACCACACTTTTAACATTTGCCACCACCACTCCTGATCTGCTTTTATTCGTATTTTCATCGTTGACACTGGCACCCGCGGGGTTCAATTTCTACTCAGGATATCTATAATCCATTCCCGGAAGCTGGCAACGCGCGTGTAGATGTCGGGGTGCCGGGGGTCGCCACACCGCGGGCCCGAGAAGGAGATCACGCCCACCGCCCTGCCGTTGCAAATCAGCGGGCCGCCGGAGTCCCCCTGCAACACAAAAGCCAGCTCGTCACTAGGGGGCGCCATCCACCCAAGAAACAAGCGATAATGACTCATGTTTTCAAAAGTTAGAACTAAAAACTTTAAGAACACCACTACCGTGAAAGAATAAAGAACAAGTAACCTCAATCACTAGAATTAGCCAAGAGCTTAGGACTTTTAAGTATCCAAAACCGATCTCAGTTTTTCCCAAAAAGGTATACGCACAATTTAATTAATTGTTCCCCATAGAAACAGTTGTTTGCACTTGAGATAAAGCGGGTTTCTAATTGCTTAATGACCTTTCTTCCATCAGGATCTCATGCTCCAGCAACGGATTTGATACGGAGGAAGGACTGGAGTCTCAGGGGTTTAATGTCAACCAGTGTATTCAATCACAGCGCTAGTCGACCTCTGCTAGACTGGTCCACAGTCATTTTGGGGCGCGGTGCGTAACGGGGCTCGGTAACACGGGAGTTCCTCAGAAAAGGCATCAAACCTTTTTGGGGGGGCAGGAGGGTACGTACCGAGCAGAAGCCCCGCGTCTCCCCCTCCACCGCGGCGCACACCTGGCGGTCGGTGACGTTGTAGTACGCCGCCCAGCGCCCGCTGCACTCGCTCTGGCTGATGACCGTGGTGTTGACCTCCTGCAGCACGCCGGGATAGGTGTCGTTGTCGTACGCGTCCCCCCAGCCCGCCGTGCTGCACACGGTGCCCGGGGCCAGCAGCTGGCTGTGCTTCAGGGGGATGGCCTGCACGCGCTCGTTCAGGGCCGCCTTCCCGTCCAGCTGTCCGAAAAACACACCCGGCGCAGACCGGTCAGCGCGTCTGGGGAGGTCCTAGATCCCGCCGGGCTCGCCCCTCTCCCCTCACCCTGCTATTCTGCTGCAATGTGCATCATTGCTATGCCCACTTGTGCACACCATAACGTGCAAGTTAAGGCAACCTGGAAGCAAGCCAGGAGGTTATGGAGAAATGGCTGCTGGCACAAGGCAGAGGCTCTGCATATCACCCAGCAGCTCACAGCTCACAGCTCACAGCTCACAGCTGGGCAGCCCCAGTGAAGCTCAGCAAGAGTGAGCCTGGCCAGTACCTGGATGGGGGACCTCCTGAGAAAAACGTAGGTTGCTGCTGGAAGTATTAGAAGGGCCAGCAGGGGGACGCTCATCCTGCAAACTGTGCCTGAGTAGACATACTGTAAAATGGTGCTGTCCTAGGAGATATAAAACTGTGGTCCTGACTGTGCTCATTAAAAATCCCAGGGTGTTTCTTGAAGAGAGTAGGGGTGTCCTGGGCAAATTCCCCCCTGCTCTACCAGTCATGGCCTCCTAATAATCCCCATCTCTGAACTGGCTTCATCACTCTGCTCTCCTCCCCACTGAGAGCTGGTGTGTGGGGAGCGGACTGGCGCATCATCCAGGTGGGGCTGCACACTGGTGGGTGTTGAGAGGATCCCTATGACCTGTACAGCGCTTTGAGTGGAGAGTCCAGAAAAGCGCTGTGTAAGTGTGAGGAAATATTCAGGAAAGACACCTGCTCAGCAGCTCCACCCCTCCAGCTCCTTCGGGGTTCCCTGAGGAGGCAGGCTGCGGCCGACTCACCTTCAGCAGCATGATGTCATGGTGCAGGGAGTCCTTCGGGTACAGTGGGTGAAGGAAGGACTGGCGCACAGCGAACACCTGCCGGCCCTCCTCTTTGCTGACCAGCGAGTGGGCACCCAGGACGACGCGCTGCACCCTGTCATCCAGGCCAGCAGGGAAAGACCACAAAAGCACAGGCTTTTTGCTACATGTTTAAGCCTTTGAATTGTGCTCTCAATTTGTGTCAGGGACTGTCCAGCTCTGGTCAAGCAACAGGTTACGGGTAACGACTTGAGCCACAGGAGGCCTGCATTATTGTCAAGCCTGCTTATGACAGGCCTGAGCACATAGGGAAAACACTATACAAGCTCACTCTGTGCAAAACTAAACCTACCTACCCAAACAACTGAAGCCTAACCACTCCCATGAATCTCTTTATATGGTAAACTCATCTAAATTCACCCCTTGCAAGAATGTGACTCTCAGCCCTTTGCCAATTAATCAATAATTCATCACGCTCTACTGACAGATCAGCTGGGGGGAATCTCCTAATTACCGCTGGTCTGCCACGCTCCTGCTTTGTGGAAGTACAGTATGTCAGCACAGAGCCTCATGTACCAAACCTGCCTGTTTACTAATGGGTAAGAACGGCAACACGTTTGGTCATTTTAATTGTATGACAATACGCATTTACTCAAAAGCATGAATATGTCTTCTTGCAAGTGCATTTTCTGTTTTCGTAGCATGCAAGGGTTCCAACTTTGGAAAACCACAAACAGAAAAAAACAAGTGCAGTACAAGTACAGGCGCTAGAAGACCGGCACCGTCCTCCTCGGAGCTTCGCTAAGCAGGCAGCGCGAGTCGATCACCGCGAGTATCGATCGCTCACCCGGCGCAGTGAGCGGCTGTCAGCACGAAGTCCTCCCGCACCAGGACTCCCCCGCAGAGGTTGGTTCCGTTTTCCTGGAGGGAGGCCATGTAGGGCCGGGAATGGGCGGCTGCCTCACGGCCGCCCACGATGCCAACCCGGGACGTCCCTTAAGCAGGGAGAAAAGACAGACCTTGCAACCAGGCTGTTTGATGTGACGGGAAACCATCCAGAGCTCCAGGGAATAAGGGATGGCTGAATTTAAAAAAAAGTGCCAGATAATGACATCAAGCTTTTTATAGCAGTTTATTTTTGCACCTTCTTTAATATAGTTGTGTGTCCCGGGGGGTCGTCTATGTGTTTTTTAGTGCTTTGTATTTGTTTGCCGTGTAAAAACATTATACAAGGGTTGGGGGCTATTACAGAAACGTGGCAGTACACTCTGCATCACGTCAGCCTGTTTAATGCAAAGTACAATACGCAATATCGAGTACTGATGATTAATAAAACATTTCAATGGAAATGCACTCAGAGAGTTTTGGAATGACGATCCACTGGGCCAGGCACTGCTGACCCTAGCAATGGTGCGCTTTGAAGTAAAGCCACAGCTCGCTATTGCTCGCTATATTTCGAAGTAAAGGGTTAGTAAATATCCTAACGCATACGGCGTTGTGAGAGCCGGCCTACCAGGGCGGTGACGCCACTGCCCTTCCCTGTGAATAGCAGGGACCGCAGCCGCCTTTGGCTCAAGAGGCTGGGTCCCTGTTGAGTGATGCCGGAGGCTCGGGTTCGAGTCCCCGTGAGCCCTGTAGTGCTATAATGTCATTAGATCTATTACTTGTCACAGGCTGACATTTAACTCTGCTTTGATTTGCAGAAATGAAATGGGCAAAAGAGCCACTGTGCACAGCGATCCAACTGGTGATTTCTAGCACCCGAAAACAGCTGCTTGATTGCTGGTGTAACTTCAGATCGCAAGCATAGAGACTGGTGCGATGACTCGGCACACTTACCACACTGGGATGCAAGCAGTAGCACGGACAGACACAGCACAGGACACAGGGCCATCTCTCCTTGTCTCGCACCCAGGGCCACAAACGATGTGACAAACCGCGCTCGCCGGCCCCCTTTTATCCCCCCCCGTGTTTGGCGGAAAGGGGGAAGCCGTTATTATTGACGAACCGTTTCACCAGCGACATTTCTCAACGTCCTCGCGGCCACTTGCTCAAGGAGTAACGGCGCCCGAGTCCAGAGGGCGGACAAGAAAAACACAAAACACCTTGCGAAATCCAGGCACCCCCACAAACAGGCAGCGCGTGCGAGTGGGGAAAAAACAGACTGAGAATCCGAATGAGAGCTAGCTGCAGGAACAGCTACTGGGGTGACCTTTCTCCGAGGCAGAGAATCGCAAAGAAACAGGGCTGAAACAGGACTCCTATCACATAATAATAATTCATAATAATAATTCCTCACACTTATATAGCGCTTTTCTGGACACTCCACTCAAAGCGCTTTACAGGTCATGGGGATCCCCTCCACCACCACCAGTGTGTACCCCCACCTGGATGATGCGGCAGTCCGCTCCCCACACACCAGCTCTCAGTGGGGAGGAGAGCAGAGTGATGAAGCCAGTTCAGAGATGGGGATTATTAGGAGGCCATGATGGGTAAAGGCCAGGGGGGAATTTGGCCAGGACACTGGGGTAACACTCCTACTCTTTTCGAGAAACGCCCTGGGATTTTTAATGACCACAGAGAGTCAGGACCTTGGTTTTATGTCTCATCCGAAGGACGGCGCCTTTTTTACAGTACAGCGCTCACCCTGCGGTCTGTGTGGGTCCTAATGCCCCAGTATAGTGACAGGGACACTGTACTGTAAACAGGCGCAGTCCTTCGGTTGTAACCCTGGTGTCCTGGCCAAATAATGCGAATCACATAGTTTTACACCTTGGAGAGATGTAGAGCATTCATATGCAGTTTGGAATTTTATAAATGGAACATCAGAGATCACAACATTGGCTGTGATAGGAAATGCAGGGGGCCGTCCACCAAGCAACGCATGTGGGTTCAGTCTCGGGCTGGGCAGTGAGGAAAGTGTACCAGAGGCATTTTCTAAAAGATCAGCTGCGTCAGCATGCAGAGGCTGCAAAGGAAAAATGAAAAGGTTTATTTCATGCTGAAAAGAGAAGAAAGAAAACACAATGTTTCGGCCGTGGAGCCTTCTTAAGCTGTCGACACCTGAAGAAGGCTCCACGGCCGAAACGTTGTGTTTTCTTTCTTCTCTTTTAATCACGGAATAAACTTACAATTTCTGAAAACACTGCCTTGCTGAGCAGTGAGTAACGGTGACAAAACACCAACCTAGAGAACAGAGGAAGCCCGTGTGGTCTCGTCATTCGTCATTCTCTTTCACTCCCCACCACCTCAATTCTTTGAAGAGGCGCTTTAACCTCTTCAGATGAAGAGGGGGGAAACACTGATAAGACGGCCACGGCGTCTTCAGAAGGCGGTTCCGGGCGACTGCAGATCAGCTGTGCTCTCTCTGCGCTTCGGTCCTGAACTCGGGGCTGCGGTACGATACCTCCCTGCGAGCCCCACCTGAGATCCGAGACAGACCCAAGAGGGTGCGAGGTGTATTCTGAAGTGTTCACGTTTAGGTTAGGGTGACCGGACGTTCTCTTTGTCCCGGACACGTCCTCTTTTTGAGACCTAAAATATCGGTCCGACCGGAATTTTTAAAATAAAAAAAAAAATTGTCCGGGATTTTGTTTTGCTCGTTAGTTACTCAGACTGTGTAAACAAACATAGGGCTCCACGTTTTTGTTCGTTCCACGCAATAGCGGTAAATGTTTTGAACTTACATGCAGCGTAGCTTGAAGGGGTGTGTGTGTGTGGCCGTTTTCATGGCCATGAAAAAAAAAACAATGTTTAACTTATTTCATTATTTTCCAAAATGTTTCGTTAAAATTGATCATTTTTGCAACCAATAAGGACTTCTCCTAAGTTATGATGTCTTCATTTTTTCCCCCTCAGATGTTAAGACTTCTGTTGTTTTAAAAATGAAAAAATAAATGGCTATATTTGTTTTCCTTGTTTGCCGTTATGGAAGAGAAATAACAACCCTGCAACTGTTTACAAGTTTACTAAGAAGTTTCATAAAAACTAGGCAGTTTAAATGGATTTTTTTATGAGAAATTTTTTTATTCATCCATTAATCAACGTCGTCAAAGGCGCAAACGCGCAGGCAGGAGCGGCCGATATCCCCGCGTTTCCTGGAAAGTTGTGTGGGGCGCATGCGCATTCCGGTGGCGTGTGTGTGGTATCCCCGGGGCGAGGTGCTGTCAAAAAACGAAACCAGGAGGGTCGCGCTTCGTCATGGTTCCCAGCTGCTCGGTCTCCGAGCGCACGTCGGGCGCTGCAGCTGCCGCGGTGCACCGCAGGACCGGTTCTCTTCTGACTCCCTCGCGTTGAGCTCCTCCCGCTTCGGATCCGGTCGGGCGCCTCCAGCACCAAGTCAACAGCCGAGCGTCACCAAGGACTTCATCCTAACCGCCGGCCAAACCCCATCAAAGGCCGAGGCTCCTCTGACACACTCGCTGCACGTCTGTGATTTGCATGGTGCGCGTCGAGCTGGTGAAAAAGTCAACTGGGAGCCGATCTTAGAGATCTTACTGGCAGCCCACTGAAGCTCAGCAGGTGTGAGCCTTGATGGGAGGCGTCCCTGGCCTTTACCCATCATGGCCTCCTGATAATCCCCCTCTCTGAACTGGCTCCATCACTCTGCTCTCCTCCCCACTGAGAGCTGGTGTGTGGGGAGCGGACTGGCGCATCATCCAGGTGGGGCTGCACACTGGTGGGGGTGGAGATCCCCCTGACCTGTAAAGCACTTTGAGTGGAGTGTCCAGAAAAGTGCTATAAGTGTAAGCAATTATTATTACGAATTTCAACATAACGACTGAAGAGCTTGCTGCAGGCTCCCACACCCCTTTGTGTAAAGATGTGCCTCCTGCTGTAGATTATCAAATGCACTTTCACGTAGTTCCCAAGTTAATTCAAGGCTTTCAACTGTATACCCTGCGATTTTGTTTTCCTTTCTAACTTTTTAATCGCTTCCCTCCCTGTGTGTGTGATTTCGAAGGTGTATCAGGGAAATACTCTGTAAAGAAACAGACAGGCAAACGTGATTTTTGATTTTATTTACTGAGCGAAACGGAAGACGGGCACAGCGAGAGGCGAATGAACGCGTTGTCTGAGCGGAAGGCGTTACAGGGGGTGCTCAGGTCAGCCCAGTCCATCACTGGAGTACAGCTCCCCTCTCTTGTGGACAGTTTTACAGCTCGCTGTCTCAGGAAGGCTGGATGTATCGTAAGGATACCAGTCATCCTGGTTTCCCACTTTTCTCCCCCTGCCCTCTGGTCAGCGTTAGAGGAGCATAAAGACACGAACTTCCAGATTCAGAGACAGTTTCTGCCCACAAGCTGTCAAGTTACTGAACTCTACCCCCACCACTGACTCACACTGATGTTTTTTTTCCTTCTCACACTGCTTGTCTGACTTGCTTTTTAAGTCGTATGTTATTGAAATGGTTGTTTCTGCTGCGGACCTGTGTGTATGCTCGGTGTTGCACTAACGTCTTTGTATAAGCATTCCATTGCACTTGCGCATATAAACAAATAAACTGATCTGCGATTACAGAGCCGATTGGCTCGGGTGTCGCGCCGCCGTCTGTCCGGGACCTCAGCTGCTCTGTCTCACGATCTTCTGGATCCAAGGCAGGTACTTGGAGACCCGCGTGTAAATGTTGGGCCAATTGGGGTAATCGCAGTTGCCGGAGTTGAACGAGACGATGCCCAGGGCTTCACCTCCGCACACCAGGGGCCCCCCGGAGTCACCCTGCGCGGGACAGAGAAAGGGAAGAGTCAGGAGCTTCGGAAAGGGGCGCCGGTACCGGCTTTGAATCTTTGCCCGTTTCGCTGCTGGTGTGTCTGGTGCACGGGTTCGAGGTCGGGTGCATTCTACCGCAGCTCCTGCGCTGAGCTTGGCTGTGCTGTTGCAGGGGCGGATGAGAGCACTCAGGGGCTTGTTATGACAGCGTGAACTTGTGGCTCACTTTAGAGATCTAACCCAAGCTGCCTGTTGAAAATGCAAGGTCTTCCACATGAGTTAAAATACAGCCTTTCAAATCACTTTGCGTGGAAAGCAGGGAACATTTGTTCAAAGTAACAGGTCCTGGGGGGGGGGGGGGTGAATCAGCTCTCTTGAGGAGATGACTGTGCCAACGTGGAGGCAGGAGACTGTCCAAAGACCAGGTAGGACAGAGTCCATCCACTTTCAAAAAGGCCACTTTTCCCAGTGAGGTCCCTGGTCAGCCCAAAGCTAACAGCAAGGACACCAGGAAAGGGATGGTTTAGAAGAGTCCATCACCATATCAGCACCATATCTGTGGGAGGGGGGAGGTCACCAGCCCGCCCAGGCTCTGCTGACAACATGCAAACTCCCCACAGAACACACCCCGAGCCGAACCGAGGACCTTGGGAGGGGAAAGGAACAGAGCTGAATGACAAAAGCACAGACGCAGGCTTTTTCAACAGCTCCCTGCGTGCTCTCCAGTAAGGGCTCACGCCCCTTCGCAGAGCGTGATTCGGACGCGGGTGCCCGTGCGCTGACCTGGCAGGCGCCCTTTTTCGTCTTGTAGCCCCCAGCGCAGATGATGTCGGCGGGCAGCTTTCTCTGCCACATGTTCCGGCAGACCTCCGTGTCCATGACGGACACGTTGACAACACGGAGGCTCGCCACGGCTCTTCCCTGGGTTTTAGTAGCGCCCCAGCCGGCCACGGTGCAGCTCGTCTTCGGCTTGATGTCTCTGTCTTTGCGCGGGTACTTAATCACATTGATCCCCTTCCCTCTCTTCACTGGCTTGGACAGCTTTTAGACATAGATACAAAGCACATACGAGATGTCGCATTAATGAAAATACACTCTATACGGGGGGAAAATAGGTCCTGTTGCCGGTCTGGAAAGGAGTCGTCCGGTTTTGTGCCGCT